TTTCGCTCGCAGACTGAGCCTGAGACGTTGGGTGATAAACTGGGGAAAATATTTGATAGCGCTCCTCAAAGTTTCAACGCATGCCATATAAATGCTCAGAGTATACCCTCTCACTACACAGATTTTATAGATACTTTCTCTTCTTTAGCTATTCACGCCATTTTAGTTTCAGAAAGCTGGCTTAAACCAAATCTTTCGTCTTCCTCTGTTTCACTCTCTGGGTATACTTTGATCCGCAATGACCGTACTGGTAAACGTGGTGGGGGTGTCGCTGTCTATCTGCGCAATGACATTTCTCACAAAATTTTGGCATCTTCACCGTCTGTTTACTCTGGTTCTGCTGAGTATATTTTCTTGGAGATCTCTGTAGGGGGAGCTAGGGCCGTTCTTGCAGTTGTGTACTCTCCACCTACTGTAGACTATTTTGCTCATATTGAGTCTATCCTCGAACCTCTTTGTACAGATTACAGGCATCTCATAATCATGGGCGATTTTAATACCGATCTCATGCGTAATACGCCACAATCTCTTAAACTGTCTAATATGGTCAAGTCCATCAATCTCTCTATTCTGCCTTCTGAGCCTACGCATCACAACCCCTCTTCTTATGATACATGGCTTGATTTAATAATAACCTCTCCTGATGATGTGATCAGTCATGGTCAACTACCTGCCCCCGGGTTTTCTAAACATGACCTAATCTTCCTGAAATATAAATTGAAACCCCCTAAGCAGAAACCCACTATACTCTGGATGCGAAATTTCTCTAGACTTGATATTGACAGGTTGAGGCAGGATGCTGCTCGGCTCGACTTTTCCTGTGTTATGGAGTCGTCGTCAGTTGACGAGAAAGTCTCTCACTTTAATAATCGTTTACTCCAACTGTACGACACTCATGCCCCAATAAAGGCGGTAAGAGTCAAGCGACCACCTGCTCCATGGATCAATAGAGGTGTCCGTATGGTCATGACTCGGAGGGACCGCGCTTTCCGAACCTTTAAGCGCAGCAGGTCGGAGGAGAACTGGCGTCTCTATAAATCTGCACGCAATAGATGCAATGGAATCGTAAGGGCAGCTAAGCGTCAATATTTTCATAATAATATTTCTAATTGTTCTTCAGCCAATATTTGGAAGTTTTTACGTTCACTTGGGTTAGGTAAAAGCTCTTCTCCATCTCAGTCTCTTCCCTTCTCTCTTGATGAGTTCAATAAACATTTCTCTGGAATTTCTTCCTTGGAACCCTCTATCAAATCTAAAACTATCGATTTAATAACTTCCAAGGCTCAATCTCACTCTGTATCATTTTCCTTTTCTCCAATGTCAAATGATGAAATTAAGAAAATTATTGTATCCATAAAATCGAAAGCCGTAGGATACGATAAAGTGAGCAGGGATATGGTTATAAATATTATAGACATTATCCTTCCAATTATTGGCCATATCGTCAATTATTCCTTCCTGACTGGTTCCTTTCCACTTCCTTGGCGTAAAGCCTACGTTATTCCCCTTCCTAAAACTTCCACTCCCACACAACTGAACAACTTTAGGCCAATTTCCATCCTCCCATTCCTCTCCAAAATTCTTGAAGCTGCTGCTCACCAACAAATATCAAATTTTATACACTCGAGGCAGGTACTTACTCCTTTTCAATCCGGCTTTCGACCTGGGCACAGTACATCGACTGCTCTACTTAAGGTAACCGAGGACATCCGACTTGGCATGGAGAACCAGTTGGTCACCATTATTGTCCTTATTGACTTCTCCAATGCTTTCAATATGGTGGACCACGATGTTCTACTTGCGATTCTGAAAACTCTTAATTTTTCGTCTTTGACATTGAACTGGTTTTCATCTTACCTCACTGGTCGCCAGCAGGCAGTGCGCAAGGACCGTGAATTGTCAAGTTGGAACGACTTGACTGCTGGCGTTCCACAAGGGGGCATTCTTTCCCCTCTTCTTTTCTCTTTGTTCATTAACTTTCTTTCCTTCTCGCTTGGCTGCTTTTATCATTTCTATGCTGATGATTTGCAGATTTATGTGCAGACGACTGCTGAAGAAATTTCTGCTGGAATAACTCAGCTCAATAGGGAACTTTGCACTGTAAGTTCTTGGTCTGCTGACTTTGGAATTGCCGTTAACCCCACCAAATGTCAAGCTATTGTAGTGGGTGGCTCCAAGCAAATCTTCAAGATCGATGTTGGTCTGCTCCCACCTGTTGTGTTTGAAGGTTCTATAATTCCATATAGCCTTAGCGTTAAGAATCTCGGCCTTCATATTGATACAACGCTAAGTTGGACGACGCAGATTGCCGAAGTCAGCCGTATCGTTTCTTATTCGTTGCGTACCCTTAATCGCTTCAGGAATTTTCTCCCTATCAAAACTAAGATCACTCTCGTTACGTCCCTTGTTCTTCCTCTCATTGATTATGCCGATGTCTGTTATCCTGATTTAAACGCAGATCTTCTCAATAAATTGGACCGCCTGATGAACAATGCTATACGTTTCATCTTTTGCCTCCGCAAATTTGACCATGTTTCATCATATCGATCCCAACGTAAATGGCTTCCTGTTCGCCAGCGCAGGCAGTTAAGATTACTCTGCACTCTTTTTACCATTATTTCCAACCCTCATTCTCCAGAGTACTTGAAATGCAAGTTTCAGTATCTCTGTGATAGTCACGACCGTCCTCTCCGGTCTGCTGATTCATTAGCTCTCTATATTCCTCTTTCTCATTCAGGCTATATGTCCAACTCCTTTACTCTTCAAGTCATACGACTGTGGAATGACCTTCCCGACTCCATCAGAAGATCTCCTAGTAAACTTGTATTTAAAAGGAATGTTCACGCTCATCTTTTGCAAAATTTAAGATGAAGTGTCACTTTTTAATCATCATCATGTATATATTATATGTATCTATATATATATATATATATATATATATTTAAATATTATTGTGTTATGTTTGTATGTATTACATTATTTTTATGGTATGTATTTATTTATGTATCTATGTTTTTTGTACATTTATTCGTATTTAGCTTTATACCGCTGTTCGTGTTTCTCATTTTTCCCAAAGGTTGACTGGGAGAGAATGCTTTTAGCATTAAGTCCGCCTTTTGTACCATTGTTTATATTTTGGTCAATAAAGTTTAAAATAAATAAATAAAGTACCGTCATTACACAAGTATTAAGATTGACAACATAAACCAATTGCCACATCTATTTTTCTTAGATTCTTGCAAACGGACCACGCGCGTTTGGGTCATATATATTTTTGGGACAAATAAGTCGATTTGATTGGCCCACGATATGTGACTTTGGCTACAAGGTAAAAACGTTCAACTTAGAACATAAAACATACACACATTAATAGAATCCGCAAAAGGTTAGTCTGGCGATGCGCTAAACTTAATATCAACTTGTTTCGAATTCTTGCAAGAATTCAGACGAAATAGGTTAAAGACAATTTTTCTTCTTTTTTGTGTAAAGAAGCATACTCACAACCTGTTGGTAAACGGCCACGGTAGTCTATAGTACTTATAGGCATTAATTTGCAATACCAGAGAAGAGAGTATACACGGGTCTTGACTACCTTAAGTTGACAATATACTGGTATTGTTCAGCGGAACCCTGTAACTGTTTCTTCACTATAGTCAGTTGCGAGGTGGACGCTACTTCCCCAGACGAAAATCCATTGTACCCTGACTCTCTTAAAAGCTACACCTTTTTTATATTTATTTACACTGACACTTATATCAAATCTATAGCAAATTGTTCACCCAGCGTGGATTTTAAGTCCATACAATTCTTGCAACCAATTATATATTTTTTAGATTCCGTACTCCTAGGGTGACAAAGGAACCCGATTACTTAGCCTTCGTTGCTCGTCCATCCGTCAACTAAAAGACAATTTGAAATCTTCATTGTGTGTCATTCTATGGCCACTATCATCAATCCCCTCCAAAAAATATCAACACTAAGGCCGCTGCCTGCATGCAACGCTTCCCGCGACGTCTAATAAAGCAGCGTTCCTCCTGGTAAGGAATTAGGTAATATCATCGCCGTCCGGTTACTTACTTCGCACGTTTGGTCAGACAAGTGAACAGCGCTACGAAAAGCTGCCTATGGATAGCGCATTCCAGGGAACGCATAGTCAGTTATGTGTTCCTTGGAATCAAAATCGTAAAGGCCCGGGTTGTCAGATATCAAAATACGCCCCCTAGCTACGCGATCATCCCACGTAACTTCGTGTAACGTTCACTGTAGCTGAAGGACAGTTTTCGACCATAATTTTGTTCGTGGTGTTATTTTATATCTAGGGTGTATAAATACAGGACAGGAAGCCACCTTACAGAAGAAGGCGGTGGAGAGAGTTAGCAAGGAACAGGCCCACGCCAACTCTCTTCGACACGGGAGGGGGAGTACTGGTCGGCGGCATCGAACCCGCCGGCTAGCCCTCTAGCGAAATTTTCTGTGCCCTGCCCTGAGTTGAACTGCCAGGGAAGGGGTGTTCCCCGGCACCATCGCGAGGGGGTAGGAACCCATGCGTGTCGAGCGGCGACTCATAACAAGATCCCGCAGTTACGCCTGGACGGTGGGGGGTAAATTGGGGAGTTGGTTTATCTGGTAGGTACGGGCTGGCTAGCCGCTCGAACTGCGGTCCGTGGGACTAATCAAGTGACACCCAGGATCGACTAAAGCGGGTGCTTGCGTGATAGTATACTAAAGTTAACTTCAAAGCATATTAATGTTCTTGGAACTCTCACGTAAAATAGGCACCTGGTGTCGAGTTGCGGAAAACACCCACAGTACATAAGAAAGAGTTCTTGGAAATAGATTTCATTCGGCATCTAATATAGTGTCATCTATTGACTAGTGGCTAAGCCGATTAATGTTGTTCTTGTTACGCCATCTATTAAAGAGTAGCAACGTGTTACCTGTTTTTAGTACAATTTAGTACAGTCACAGAAAGAGATGTCGCTAGATGAACAGGCCGACCGCGCATGTCAAAAATACACAAATGTCATTCACACACACATCATTTTATTTCGTGATATCGTAAAAACGAGTTGATTTCGCGAAAATATACGGACGTGTTGGCTTCGGGCATGTTTTTCCAGTGTTCACGGACTTTATCATACGTTGGAACTACAGAAATTATGTATTAGTGTGAACTCTAATTCGGTGGTGGACAGTGGTTTGAAATTTATGAAAGAAAAATAAGATTTTCACAGATTTTCTTTTTCGTTTTCGTCTACCGCAGTGCATTGGACGTATTGTTAATTATATTATTTACATTCCGGTGTAAATGTGAATACGTTGTCGTTTTTTAGTGTTCAATACAGTTCAGTTTTCTATTTTTGACATACGTCGCTATTAATAGTTGTGTTTTTGATGAATTACATGCGATGGAAAGCTTATAAATTGCGTAAGTATTCTCCTAAAGTAATTTTATATTGTTTATATGGTCATCGACTTGATTTAAGTAGTGGTGGCAGCGACTTGCCTAATGTTAAATAAATAAATAAATCTTACAGGTATCTTATCAGAACATAAAGTTACACAGGTGATAAAAATATAAAAACACTATGGTAAACCTATTGGGAAATATAAAAAAGTGGTCCACTGTAAGATGCCTAGCTGTTGTGAAACTAATAAATAAAAGAAATAACACTTAAAAACTTGAAATATGTGCAGTCTCTGGGCAGTCCTAATTAATAAAGGCTGCCAGTCTCTCTAAGTAACCATTAGACCAACAAAGCTCTCTCAAATATTGACCGAATTACTGTACATATTATTATGATGAAATCACTGTTTGTATGTATTGCCCATGAGCATTGCACCTCTTTTTTATGTTAGTTGTTCATTTTAGAAGTGCCATGGCCCACCTGATGGTAAGTGGCTACCATAGCCTATTGTCGCTTGCAATACCAAAAATATCACACACCACCCACCCTGAAGAAAACCCCTACCCAGTAGAGTGATGGAACCTTACTCGCCAACAGAAGCATCACACCATTAAAAGGTAGTGTTGTTTTACTTATTCAACTGTAGATATTTATTTAAAAAAATACCAACAATAAATGCATGTGTGGATTTTTGCTTGATCTTGATAGAAAATGAAAAAAACATCCTTCCTTGGTTGGGAATCAAACCTAGACCGCTCCCTTGGCAGGTGAGCTTTCTACTACCAAATCATTGTTGCTTCTTGAAAAAATAAGTTGTTTTTTAAAGAATTAAAAATGTTAGGTGACATACTGAAGAAAAACAGTAAAGAATGTCAATGTATGTAATAAAAGTTTTGTTTTAAACAAAAGTTCTGCTTCCTGCATACCTGAATGTTTTTACCAATCCCAACTGAGTTAATAGTACTACGAGTGTGATGCTTGAGCGTGAGGGATAGCTGCTCGGCCCTGGAACTGATAGAAATGAACTTCAGAAGCAACTACAAACAAAAGTTTACTACAATCGGCTCAGCTTTCCATTACCTGTAATTGAGTTGCAAGCTGAAATTTTTGTCACGCAAAGTATTAATTATTAAAAACACGTACACGAAATCTTTTTAGGCAGAAACAAATAGAACTTGAGAAAAAAATTATTGAAAATTAATATTTTTGTAGGTTATGAGTCAATTTTGACAGCAATTTTGATCAGTGCTGCCATTTTTTTATGCAACAATAACATGTTTCTCGTTGTCTATGGTAAAAATAAGCGAGCGTGCCGCGGCAGCGGCCGGCGAAGTGCCAGAAAGAAAAGTTTGTTAATAGAGACTTATTCTACAAAAAAATCAAATATTTTCACCTTTAGGCCCTGGAAGTACAGTTTTACCTTAAAAATACGCCGGGAGGGGGGGGGTTCCCCTTCCCTCTGAGGGGTCTGCCCTAATAACTATCCCCCTGAAATTCCACTACATTTAACAGATTTAATGAATTTTTAGGTTATGTAAAAAAATCTACATTTCCGCCAAAAATCTTTTATGGCGGGGGGGTCGGGGGGAGCCCCCCCCCCCTCCCGCCCCCCTACAAACTACCCCGAAATTCAATTACATCTAATGGAATTAAGTACCCTACAATCCTCTACAAACGATGTCCGAGCTATAGTTAGGAAGAGATTTGAAGAAACTACAAACAAAAAAACAGTTTACTACAATCAACTCAAAACGATTCCGCATCTGTATCTGAACTAAAAATAATTTGTTTCTTAGGTTTTCACGCACATCACTCATTAAATAAAACTAGTTAAGGCACCTTCGAAAGACTTTTTTTTTTAAAAAAGTCTTTCGAAGGTAGCTTGACAAATTAAATAAAAGTTTTATTCCGACGACGAAGCCTGTAAAGGCTACGTCAATAAATAAATAAAGTTTCGTGCATTAACCCGTAAAAACTAGTTTTATTTAAAAATAATATATTTTTTTAATTTTAAAGCAACTATAAATGCAAAAAGTTTACTATAATCGACTACAAAAAATGTCTGAGCTATAGCTGCAAGAAAATAGATTTTTTAATAATTTAGAAAAAACTACAAACAAAATTAGTTCTGTACTATCAACTACAAACAAAAAAAATTAAAACAATCCACTACAAACGATTTTGGATATATAGCTGCAAGAAAAGAGGTTAATTTTGAAGCAAATTATACAAACAAAATAAAGTTATCTACAATCAACTTCAAAGGATCTCTGAGCTATAACTGTAAGAAAATATTTTTTTATATTTTTGAAGCAACTACAAACAAAGAAAAGTTTGCTACAATCAACTACAAACGATGTTTGAGCTACAGCTTTATTTATAATTTTGAAGAACCTGCAAATGAAGTCAAAATATTTTTACCCAAGTTTTTTTACTACATGTAGAAATTTCTTCACAGCAGTCAACTACAAACGATTCTCCATAAGAGTCAATAAAAAAAGCATATGGCCTGCCTCATGGTAAGCAGCCACTATAGTATATAGATGGTATACATACAAAAAATATTACTCGCACCGCTTGCGATACAAAAAATATCACTGGCACCGATGTTTACTCAATCCACTACCCCGTGGAGCCTTGGAACCTTACTCACCGACAGAAACACAACGCCACAAAAAGGTAGTGTTATTTTACTATGGTCTTCTGTAAGGTGGCGGTACTTACCCACACGAGCGCTCCAATTCGAGCGGAAAATTCACTATGTCCTGACTCTCTTAGTTTTCATGAACCTATGTAGTATTTAGCTTCATAAAAAAAAGAAATTTCCCGTATGACTTAATTATCATCGAAAATGATTGGGTTTTTATGTTTAAATCTAAATGAAAAAACCCTCCAAGTGCGAGTCGGACTCGCGCACGATAGATTTTGAGACAGACCCCGTAACAAAAATGGTCTAAAAAGCCGACGGCTATCCCATTTCTTTGTTATTGAAAATAAAAATTACATATATTTATGTCCATATCAACGAGCTCTAGAGAATGATGAATCAAACGTGTCAAGGTAAGAAAAAAAGCTTTTTTTGTCCCCTTTAATATTTGGAACTATCCATGAAAAATAATTTAATTGAATTTTTAAGCAAATATTCGGTTTAAGGCAAGCAATTTACATAAAATACCAAAATTTCAGTTCTGTAACTCATTCCGTTTACGATCTAGAGACCCGTGACATACGGACAGACAGACAGAGTGACAGCAATAGGGTTCCATTTTTACCCTTTGGATACGGAACCCTAATTAGGTACATTATTATTGTACACCTAATATAACAACAAAATTAACAATTTTCATAAGTTCAGTTGAGACGCTACCCAACTGTGAGTCATGTAACCCTGACCTTTCAGGCCGCACGAGGAAAGCTTTCGTTATTGGTGTACATATCACTGAGCAATCTGACTGAAAAAATATGTAATTATCATAGTATTCAAGTTTATTTCGGAATCGGCACTTGAACTGCACAGCTTGCAATAGTGCCGAAATATCGGTGACTCGCAAAATAAGGTACATGGTAGCAATCCTATATTACATATATAACTGTAATTTAGTTAGTGACCATGAAATTTGAAACAATATGTAATAATTTATGCTAATGATTTAGCAAAATTATTAAATTTATTATAATATGGAATTGACTAACGGTCGTGCTTGCGATAAAGTGTATAATCGATGGGTCTTCTCGCTCGTTTCACTCATGTCAAAGTAGTCGTGATCTCTGTGTTGATCACGATGAGGCATCTAGGGACGGGGCAGATGTTAGGTTATTCCATTCTCAGGAACACGTGGAGGTATCGAGTGGAAATTTAAAGCTAACCCTCAAGTCTACAGACTCTTAAGCCTGTGAAAAATCACACTTCTCATTTAACATAAAAATAGATATGTTTATGTTGTGTACTTCTACTTTGTACAGAGCCCTCGGTGGGCGATACCGACTCGCACTTGTCCGGTTTATTTTTAATTTTTAAATGAAGTTTCACATTACGAGGATACGTCATACCGGGATGCATTACTGCGTGTTGCCTACCGGACGAACATTTACGTAGGGAACCTTTCTACTTCCAGATAGACTTTTCATTGTATTGGTAATGTATTATTAGCAACATGTCATTAGTCATCCAACGTCAAACCTGGCATAGTAGAAAATATTGAAGAGGATATTTACTCTGCCTACCCCGCAAGGGAAGAAACTATCCTTCAACTTACATGGCATGTATTAAAATTGATAGTCTCAGCGATAAAACTCCCAATTATCTGGGTCATAAATTCTTGCCATCACAACACAACCCTCTAGCTAGCGTATAGGTAGGTATCATCCGTCGACCTTGCCAACTCCTAGAACTACGAAAATGGGGGCGAATAGCGATTCGGGGGCCGATACGATGTGAATCAGAGCTAAGGCGGGGTGAGTCAGAGGCATTGCGACCCTGGCGAGGTCACGCATCACCTAGGAGAGTTAGTTTGTAACGGTAATATATCGCAATCGAGATTGGAACTAACGACCAAAAGCATTTGTTGCAAGTAAATCTTAGATTAAAACAAAAAGGGTAGATCCGGCACTAGCTTCACAAAAGTGATCCGCACCAATTGTGGTCCACGACCCTAATCGCTTTAGTCACAACTTGACATGCAAGCGACGTACATGTGAACGCCAAAAACAAATATTGCTAATGTTTTGTATTTATATGATAAAACAATGCCTAAGTGTGTTCTTAAAAAGTGCTCAAATTGACGAAGAACTAAAAATAAAACCCACGGCATCACTTTTCATTCGTAAGTACTATAAAATATATTTTTTCATAAAAATTGCTGTTTGTTTTGAATCTTTTTTTTTTTTTTTTTTTTTTTTAATGGCACGACACGATTTGTGCATTGCCAGTGTCAAAGGTAGGGAAACATTAGTAGGAAATTTATGCATTTTGGATCGGAATTTAGAGGATAGGATCAGGAGACAGAATTGGTATATTTAT